CCCCAAAACCCCAAAACCCCAAAACCCCAAAACCCCAATATCTCACTCACATTTAAATTATTATTCAGCACTATTCATCAAAATGGATGGAGAACTTTGGGTACCCATACAAAACTTGCATTAGGCTATGACACAAAGTAAAAGTGACTCCTTTAACTGAGCCCTTTCGTACATCTTCTTCAAAAAACTCCTTTCTAATTTGTAAAACTTTGACTGCAACTGTGATTTTTATATTAGAAAATCATTCTCAAGATTTTATAAACGAGAGCAATGGAAAACAAGTCTGCCACTTTTGAAAATTATCAGTTTCTTGCGAACCTGGCTTTGTGTAGCCTAGAGTCAAAGATTTCAATGAACAATTCTTGGGCACTTTAAATGGAGTTGATGGGAAAACTCAATCTATAAAATAGCATTAATTGATAATTTCAGAATCCATACCATGAAGAGCAAGTGATTTTCATCCATTTGTCGCCAAAAGTATTTTGACAAATAATCTAGGATCTATATCGAATATTTATCAGAGCAGGCTGAAGTTTTAAAGGAAACGTTATGAGAGAAGCAAAATGCATTTTATGTATCTAAAAACTCATGAATATGATTTTCTCAAATATAAAATTTTGCTGATTTTGTAGCCTACTTACTAGAAATAATCCATTGTCACAAATTAACCTCTTCTAATGCCATTGAGATTGGTTTCAGATATCTTTGACAAAAAACTCTGAGTTTATTATGCCCTAAATAGTTAATTTTACATCTTACCTTGACTTTGGGAGTATGATCATATTTTAAGGGTATGAGTTTTTGGAGATGTTTTAAGCAAATATCACTGATTGTCATTCCATCTTTGATCAGTAGCCATAATACAAATATCTAATTTTCCATTAAATTTAATGCCAGATGTTAACCAGTTCTTTAAAGTTGATGGTTTGCATATTTGAACATTTTTAAAAGAAGTAAGAAGCATATCTCCTCGAGAAAATCTTGAAAATTATGTTTTCAGATAATTGCAATTCTTCACTAAATAATTGTTGTTCTTCTTCAGTTGTTTTAGTTTCCATTTTAATATTTTAGAATTTATCTAATTTTATATTTAAAGCAGTTAGAGAGGGGTTTTGGGGTTTTGGGGTTTTGGGGTTTTGGGG